CACCACATATCTAAGTAGCCACACTAATAAATAATATCTCTGTCTTGCCAGGATTCTGTTGGCTTTCCCGCATTCAAACTGGTTCCTCACCACACCCAAGCAATAGTTCAGAAGTGCTACAATTGCCCTTGTATCTGATGGAAATGAGAGATAAAGTTAGGTGACATTCAGATGGCCTCTCCAAGTTTCACACAGAGGTATGGTAGAGAAAACAGAACCATGTGGAGCTTCCAAAGCAGGATCACCAAAAGGATAAGCAATGACATCTTAGCACTTTCTAGAAACAGTCATGTAAGCATTACATGAAATCACCAAGGGGTGCGTTCCATATGCATCCCAGACACTGGGATACCATTGTTCATGGCATCTAAATTTGCTAACTCTTGCAAGCATTTTTACAGAAGTATAAAAGGCGACACCATCTTCAAAGGCAAATTTAAGGGAGAATCGACCCGATTTTCAGGGTTAACACCATCTTCAAAGGCAAATTTAAATTATTGCTGTTGTTTAGTCCTTTAGTCGTGTTGAAACATGCCAATTTTATTAAACTTCACAGAACTGATGGAGTGCATTAAGAATATAAGGAGAGATGCACAGATCTTTAAAATGCCACCTTAACACTATATTTAACTATACATTATTAATGTAATTAATATGAAACTCTAAGGTTCCTGCTGCATAAACTCTGACTCTCTCTCTCTCTCTCCATTTAAAACAATTGGTTGTTTTACTTAAGCTAATTTACAGGGATATCAGCTTTAGCATCAGTCATTGTGAAACTACACACACGAGTATTAGAAACTGCGTATTAGAAACTGCTTCTACAGTAGACTGACCTTGACTTGGATCTCTTCTCCCGGCCGCATCAGTCATTGCGAAACTACACACACGCAATTTTCAGACTGAGATAGGATTTGGACATTCATAAAACAGTATTTATACTACAATCTTAAAACTAGCTTTTTGGAAAGAAAGTCCTACAAGTGGAACTTATTTCAGAGTAAATTTGCATGAGATTATTGTAACAACATATAATAAGTAATACTGGATTATTGTAACAACATATAATAAGTAATATATATAGTAATATGTAATTCTGGGACAATGCATTAATGGCTGAAATCCTGTTGCTTAGTGTAGTAAGTCATAACTACAGTATGGCCATTGGTTCAATGGAACTTATACAAGAGCTGACTTACCAAATCCCCATAAGCTTACGTTAGTTGTGACTCACAATGCTATGCAACAGGATTTCAGTCAGTTTTATCACAGTAAATATTTACTACATGGAATGTGCCATCGCTATTTTCAGGCTCTCTGTACTGTACTGTGATGTACTAATTTTACCCACTGCCAAAACGTATCTTTTCAAAATAGTAGTATAAGAGCAAACTTTAAATAGACAAGGAAAAAAACACTACCATTTCAACACAGATAATAGCACCTACTGATTGTCTGTCAGAGGAGATAAGATCACAGGTACTAGAAAATCATTATAAAAAACCAGCACTTCAATTAAAAATTGCAGACTGGAATATATTTATCCCAAAGATAAGGTAATCTTAATATACGTCCATGTCTTCTCAAAAATTTGGAATGATACTGATGTGGATTTATATATTTAAGATATTTTTACCCCGACTTTCTCCTTAAAAAGGCCCCAAGGCGGTTTACATAACTGAAAGACAATATTTAAAGCTAAAAACAATGAGCATATAAATATTAAAAAGGAACAAATACAGTTCTGAGAAGTGGTAAACACAAGCAATACTAAAAAATATTGTCAAAGCAGTAATGCATAACAATCCGCTTAAAAAATCCCACTCAGGCAGGCAGTCACTGACAGAAAGCTTGCTTGAAGAGACACATCTTTGCTTGCTTGCAGAATGACAGCAGAGATGGGGCCAGTCTTATATTTACATTATACTTTCACACCATGGAGTTCACTGTGATAAATGTATATGGGACTTATCCTTGCTGCTTTTATCCTAACAACATGAAGCAGACTGACCCCAGACCACACAAGTGCCCACTTTATAACTGAAAAAAGATACACACTTTAGTGGACCACAGATAAAAGATTATCAAAAGTATTCAAACTGCTACAAAATAACTCTTAAGACAAAAGGCCAGCATTTAATAAGTATACAGTATTATACATCAGATATGAGATTTCTGTTTCAAATAGTGAATGCTCTGCTTTCCAAAAGGATTTAAAATAATTCTCCAGTATATCAGTAACTTTCTACATACCATTTAGTATGAAATAATTTGGACATACTGTATTTATAATTGAAATTATTATTTGAAACTATAACTACTATTCTGTTCAGATCCCTAACCTAATCTACAGTTAGCCCGAAAAACCCACAACAACCTACAGTTAGCCTTTGAAAATTCACTAGCCTGAAGCAGTAATGCTAATTTTATACCATCTACTTTAGTTTTTGGGTTTTATCATTTTGCTTCAAACTGGTATTAATATCACCTGCTGACACATGCAACACTATAGGTTTTTCCAAGAAAACAAACAAAAAAATTCTTTTGAAGGCAGCTATTGCTTGATCTTTTAGCCTTTTGTTTCTGTCCAAAAGATTAGGCAATACTGCCGGGAGGCAGTGGAAGACAGGAGGGCCTGGCGTGCTCTGGTCCATGGGGTCATGAAGAATCGGACACGACTTAAGGACTAAACAACAACAAAAATTGCCTGATCTCAAGAAGGTTAAACAGTGCAATTTAAACCCAATGAAATGCTAACTACAGTGGGTCTGGAACAGACAGAAGTCCTCTCCTGTTGACACAGCTACAGTACTGTGCTGAGATCAGCTGGAAGAAAAGCCACAAAAAGGGAAAGAGGTGGTGATAAGCAGAGATCCAAACCTCTCTTAGTCCATAGTATATTCACAGCCGCCATGCAGCAAAAAGTGAGCCCAAGGTTGGGATGGTTCTCAGTGACCTCCAGATTAGCTTATGTTTTGGATCACAATTCTCATTAACCCCCAGAAAGCATTCAGGAATGATAGCATTTGTCATCCAAAACACTGGGAAATCACCTGGCTAGGGGAAGATTGCCATAAATCATTACTAGGAATTTCCAGCTCAATTTCAACTGAAAGAACAATCTTCACAGGACAATCTGGGTGTGAAATTTAAAGGAAAGCGAGACATTCAGTGATCAGTCTTAACAGAAATAAAGAGGTTGTCTTTGCATATTCTAAATTATAGCAATCTATGAGATACACTAGTTGAACCCTTAATTGGCATTTTGATGTTCTCCTTATTTAATTTATATGCCACCCACACTATGTCCTCTGTTTCTTTCTCACCACACATTTTAAGGATTACAGTATATTTTAGCCATTACGAGTATAGTTCTTCATTTTGAGGATACTGGTGAGAAATATGATGACCACAATATTTTTCTTTTACTGCTACTATACAGTACAACACTAATTTAAAAGGAAAACCCATCCTCTTTGTAGCACACTTTGCTTTGCTTTTAATAAAGAACAGCATATGCCAAAGACAGGTTTTGTCAGGAGGCAAATTTAGAAGCTGGACTCAAGCCACACACACTCGAGCCCATGGTAACTTCTAATATTTGTTGGCCTTCTGAATAGCTGGATACATCAATCATGGGGACAGAAATATGGCAGGGCAGTTGCATTGCTGGAAAATGCATAGAGACATGCCACACTTGACGTGCAGAACTACAGACACACAAAAGTTAAAATGATTGACCAGTCATTGCCATGCACCCCAATGTACTGAGCAAAACCCATTCAGAATCCGTTGCATGACTGAAGCAATAAAGCTGAACAGAGGCAAAGAGCACCAATGTATGTAATCCTTAATTACTTTTCAGGAGCCTTGATCCATTTGACTGTTCCAGAAGCATAGGCTTCTGACCCCATTTATTTGTTAGATGCCACAATGTTCAAACAAAATTAGATACTGTATACAGTATTTATCCCAAAATAACTCAAGACCCGGACATACATGGATACTTTTCCTGCCTGTTTACTTCAAGAGGCCAGAGACATGGTCACACACAATGATGTACCATCATCACTTGACTACAGATTCCACTGATGTCACCCAGAAAAGAGAAAGAGGCAATTCTTTCCCTAGTGCTGTCGGTGATGAGTGACTTGAACCGGCTAATCAGTGAGTTGACCAAGCAAGTCTCAGACAAGGGGGAAGGGAAGAAACATCATCCAAGGCTGCTCTGTGCCTCCTGCATGTAAGCAGAAGTACTGTACCTCTTGCGCCAGTGGGGGAACCCCGGTTCTGCAGGAAAACAAGTGTTGCACATCCTTCCTTCAAACTGGATTTGTTTTGTTTGGTTTTTTTAAAATACATTATTTATTTAAAATATTTCTATCCTGCCTTTCTCCACAAAAGGACCCAAGATACCTTACATCATTAAAACAGTATCTGAAAGCTAAAAACAGTAAGTATACGAATATTTAAAAAGAATTAAACAAGTGTGTTTGAGTGTGCGTGCGTATGTACACATACACACACACAAAGGTAACTAAAATCAATATTAAAGCGCCTGTTTTGCCTAGGTTTTCTGTGGTCTTCTTTTCCCCCTTAATTGATGAAACTTCTCCTTCCAGGGGGCAGGAAAAAAGGAGAAGGGCGAGCATCCCGCGATGCAAGTGTTCAGGTGAGACCCCCCAAGAACGGAGGGAAACGGGGCAAATCGGGGGTAGAAGCGGCGTTAAGAGCACCCGCGGGGGATGCGGGGCAACAGGTGAGGCTTGCCATCCGAGACAGCCTTTTCAGGGAAGGAGCCCCATTGGGTGCCTGGCCCTTACTCCTGAGGAGAGCGTGCACAAGCCTCGGGGTCGGAGGAAGAGAGGACCGGACAGGCAGCCAAGGACCCGAAAGGGGGCAAAGGAGAAGAAAGCGGGGGGGGGAGGGATGCGCCAAGCAGCAGAAGGCGAGGAGCAGCTGCCACACACGGTGTCTCCCGCCACTCGCTCGCTCCTTACCGGCGCCGCGGTCAGGCTCTTTGGCACGCCGGGCACGTCCCAGCCCGTCCCCCTCTGGTCTCAAGGCCCGGGCCGCTCGCTGCAACAGCCGCCTTCCTCCCGCTCCCTCTTTTCGTAGCACCGGGCGGGGGGGGTGAAGGGGAGGCGGAGACGGCCGGGCAGCGAGGTCACAAGATGGCGGCCCAGGCGAGCCGGAGAGCAGAGCGCTCTATCTCTCTCGGGTTTTGTTTGTTGTTTTGGAAACTACCATTCCCATGATGCCACCGGGAAAGGGCGAATCTTTCTCCCTCCTCACTCCTACTTCCCCCTTCCAGATTTAAAAAAATCTCAGCAGAGCCAAGCGCGGCCGCGTGGCATCATGGGGCTCGTGGTCCTTCCGCGGGCAGTCCTCTTCTTCCCCCCCTCCAGTGGGGCCCTGGACTCCTCCCTCACTTGCTGTATCGGGGGCGGTGCTTGAAGTTTAGAGGCGCTTGAAGGTGGTTTGAGCCAAGCAGGGCGCCGGCGGGCGGCCGTGGGGGAAAGACGCGACGACGACGACAGCCTCCCCCCCGTCGCCCCATTTTCCATTTTTCTCCCGACGCGCCTTCCTCTTGTGGGCTCCGCGGCGGCCTGAGGGGCGTCGTCCCCCCACCACTCTCGGCCGCCCCCCTCCCCTGGCAGCCCACCCAGCTGGGGTTGAGAGGCGGGTGCGAGAAAAGGGCAGGGGCGCCAGGACGGTTGCTGGGCTGGCTCACCCACCCTCGTCAGGCCAGGCGGGTCTACTCAGAAGTAAGCCCCATTGAGTTCATTGGGACTTACTTCCAAGGTACGTATGGAGAGGTTTGGGGGAAAAGGAGGAAGAACTGGTGCTCTGTGTGGAAACCAGGGCGGGCATGCATGTATGCAGACGCGTGCAAGACGGGTGCAAAACTTGGGGAGTTTGGAAGCAGTCCTGCTAACAAGGTCCTTCCTTGTCCACTGTTGACAGGAGAGCTCCAGAGAGCCACCTTCCTGGTGGAGGGAAGGGAAAGAGAAACTTCTTCACCTGCGGTAGACTCAAAGGGCTGCTGTATCCATAGTTTTCGAGGAGCAGTTTGTTCCATTTTCATTTAACACGAACTTTCCTGATTTGCACGTACTGAAGCAAAAAAAAAAAGCAATTCTGTAATATTTCTCCGCATTTTGCAGTGCAGTGCTTGAAAGCACAATCCCTGAAAATATAAAGGATATAAGTGTATGAAGACACATTGCTTTTAGGGAAAGTGATTTGCAAAAATGTACCAAAAGTGTCTGAATGTTCACACCAACTTTTAAAAAAATATTTCTCAGACTGAGGCAAAAACAGGGCAAAATGGACCTAATGATAAATACATGCCATCAAGTGGATTCTGACTTATGGCGATGCTTTCCAGGATTTTCTAGGTATAGAGTATACAGAAGGGTTTTACGATTCCCTTCTTCTGGGGCTGCTCTGGAACCATGTAGCTTGCCTGAGGCTTTACAGGCTAGCTCTGCTGCTAGGCACAATAAGGAAATCCCATTCCCAACTCCTGGTGGTCACTGAGCTGTCCAGCCAGCTGAGAATGAATTTAAGACTGGAAAAATGAGGAACAGAGAATTCTTAACATGCTATATGCATCCATTCCTCTTCTGGAGTGGTTACTTTTAAAAATTAAGACCACATAGAGTATGTAATGTTTCTTTATCCAGTGTACAGGAAGATCTTCTGTAAATGGGGAAACAACAGCTATCCGGGACTTGATCCTGCACGAGCATGCCGATCTGGCTTGCGTTACAGAGACTTGGTTGGATAAGGCTGGGTGTGCTAATCTTGTTGACCAGGGTCTCTTCTGGAGTGGTTACTTTTAAAAATTAAGACCACATAGAGTATGTAATGTTTCTTTATCCAGTGTACAGGAAGATCTTCTGTAAATGGGGAAACAACAGCTATCCGGGACTTGATCCTGCACGAGCATGCCGATCTGGCTTGCGTTACAGAGACTTGGTTGGATAAGGCTGGGGGTGCTAATCTTGTTGACCAGGGTTTTTTGTGCAGCAGCAGACAAGACTTTGGTAGTGGGGAAGTGGAGTTGCCGTGGTCTGTCATGATTCCATCCCCCTCACCAGGTGTCACATCCCTCAGTTTTCCAGGTTTGAATATGTGTGTATGAAAGTGGAGCTTGGGACAGAACTAGGGATTCTGTTTGTGTGCCACCCACCCCACTGCTCAATCATCTACCTTCCTAGGCTAGCTGAGATGGTCTCGAGGGTGATGTTGGACTCCCTGCAGCTTGTTGTGTTGGGAGACTTCAACATCCATGCTGAGGCAGCTTTGTCAGGATTTTATGTCCTCCATGATAACCATGGTTCTGTCCATGATGCTGCAGTAAACATTTTAGTCCAGGATTTTATGTCCTCCATGATAACCATGATGCTGCAGTAAACATTTTAGTTCTGGTTTTCTGTACTGGAGTAGATGTTGGTGATCTGGGTGTGGAAGAATGCTCTGTAGTTCCGTTGCCATGGACATATCATTATTTGCGGTGGAGTTTAGACTCACCATTATTTGGTGGGGTTTAGATTCACTGAAACTCAGAGGGTCTGCAGGGCGGGAGACCAATTAATGGTCCATCACAGGAGGCCGATGGATCCCAGTTGTTTCTTGATGCCTCTTGGGGATTTTCCTGTTGCTTCAGCCGGTGATTTTGTTGAAGCCTCAGTTGATATCTGGAATAAAGAAATGGCCAGGGCTGTTGACACAATCACTCCTAAGCCAAACTGGCTCCCTGGTTTACTGGGGAGCTGGTGGTGATGAAATGAGTGGAATGAAGATTAGAGCAGCAGAGGCAGAAAACTCAGAGTGAATCCAAACAAACATGGGCTAGAGCCCATTGGAAGGCCTGCTCTGTGGCAGTGGGGGCGGCAAAGTCATTCTTCTGTGCCATCTATGCCATTTCCAGGCACAGAGTCCGGTAGAGCTCTTTCGAGTGGTCAAGCACCTATTACATACTGGTCCTCAGAAGCAGAATGCAGACCACATTGTAGCTGACAGTGAGGAATTTGCCTGGCATTTTATTGGCCAAATTGCCCAGATGTACTCTGACTTGGATGCTGTAATTGATACACATCCTATGTGGCTACTTGTCCTATGTTAATGGATAAGTTTCAGTAGCCTGCATAATTAACTTGTAAACTGCCCAGAGAGTGCTTGAAGCACTATGGGGTGGTATATAAGCAGCATGCTTTCCTTTTTTCTCCCTGCAGCCTGATGATGTAGAAAGGACATTCAGAAAGGTGATGGGTACCACATGTCTGTTGGACTCTTGCCTTTCCTGGATTATAAAAGCTGCCAGAGGGGAAATGGCTGAGTAGGTGGGAGCAGTGGTGAATGCCTCCTTGCAGCAGGGTAAGATCCCAGTATATTTCAAGGAGGCCATAATAAGACCATTGTTGAAAAAGCCCTCTTTCGATCCCATGGTATCGGATAATCACCAGCCAGTCTTTAATGTGCTGTTTTTGGGCAAGATGCTGGAGTGGGTCTTGGCTTCTCAGTTCCAAGTGTACATGGATGAAACAGATTATCTAGGTTTTTTCCAAACACCAAACTCAACCATCTGAATTGGGCTCTACAGGGAAATGGCTTTTCCAAGAATGAAACCACAAGAGCCATCAAACTGGGAAAACAACACCAAACTGAAGAAGAAAAACAGCCACCCACAAATAAAGTATTTCTGCCATACATCAAAGGGGTCATGGACCACATGGGGAAACTTTTTTCAAACACGACCTACAAACAGTATTCAGGCCCACCACAAAAATACAACAGTTGTTACGGTCAGTAAAGGACAAAAAGGACTCCCTCACCAATACAGGAGTATAGTGGATACCTTGCAGTTGTGGCCACAAAACACAACATCCACACCAGAATCAAAGAACATGAGAGACACTGCAGACTAAAACAAATGGAAAAATTGGCAGTAGCTGAACATGCCCTGAAGCAAGCTGGACATGAAATTCTATTTCAAAATACTGAAGTACTGGACAACATCAGCAATCATTATGTTAGACTACACAGGGAAGCCATTGAAATCCACAAACACCAGCAAAGCATCAACAAAAAAGAAGAAAGTCTAAAACTCCACAAAGCCTGGCTCCCAGCACTGAAAAATACAGCCTGCAAAAGGTCAACAACCTCTACCAAGCCACAAGGACTGGTGATCGTGGCACACAAAAGACTAGCTAACGACACCCATCAAGAACAGTGACAGATCATCTCACCCCCCTTATCACAACAATGTACCCATAACAAAAACACCCTGATCACCATAATCGCCCAATCTCCTGAAAAGGACAAAAAACTGATCCCACAGCTACAAATACTCAACTATCTCACACACTACACCAGAACACAGACACAGTTCTAACACCTCTGAAGATGCAAAACATTTGGAAGAAAAACCTCCAGAACATGGCCAAACAGCCAAAAAAAAACTACAACCACCATCAGATACCGGCCGCGAAAGCCTTCAAGAATACATAAATGACACTGTTATTCTAAGTGCTAATTCTTTGTAGTCTTTAAGTGTCTTATCACTTTCTTATTATTTAAAGAAGACTGTTATTTAAGATAACAGTTATTTAAGATCCCCTTCATGGATTGCTGCCTTGTCGTGGCGAAGGGGCTTGAGTACATTCAATATGTCAGCAAGTTTGGAAAACTCAACAGTGGTCAGAGGACTGGAAAAGATCAGTCTACATCCCAATCCTAAAGAAGGGCAGTGCCAAAGAATGCTCCAACTACCGTACCATTGCACTCATATCACACGCTAGCAAGGTTATGCTCAAAATCCTACAAGGTAGGCTTCAGCAGTATGTGGATCGAGAACTCCCAGAGGTACAAGCTGGATTCCGAAGGGGCAGAGGAACTAGAGACCAAATTGCTAACATGCACTGGATTATACAGAAAGCAGAGAGTTCCAGAAAAACATCTACTTCTGCTTCATTGACTATGCAAAAGCCTTTGACTGTGTGGACCACAGCAAACTATGGCAAGTCCTTAAAGAAATAGGACTGCCTGACCACCTTATCTATCTACTGAGAAATCTATATGTGGGA